GGTGAGAATTGAACTGTTAAGAATTATGTGAGTACTGAAAGTTAAAATTGGGGGCATTGTATTATAAATTTTACCAGCAAGAACTATATAAAAGAGTATTCTATTTTGCTGCTATTTTTGAACAAATGACAGAAGGAATGACACAGAATCAGTTGGCAGAGAAAATAATAGCTCATATTGGGGAGATAATGCATAAACATCATTTCATCTCTAACAAACAGTACTAATAGTAATGGATAGCCAGCTACTCCCTCACGTAAAATAAGTTTACTGAATTTCATCAAATACATCCTTTATTTTGGATTTTCAAAGGCTTATCAAATATTATTATAAAACTGGGATTGATATCTCACTGCATTAATTACTCATTACTCATAAAAGCATTTATAGAAGTCTTACCACCTAAAGATTTCCAAATGTGATTTTGAGCCTGTGAAGTCATAGTAGGTGTTGCATAAAATTTAAAAGGCAGTTGTATTTCCATCTGGAATATTACAAGGGGCAGAAAAAGTCTGTCCTTCTGTTGAAAAAAGCATTTGCCCATGTGTGTAATACAAAAAAAAAGAAAAAAAAAGAAATAGCATTTCTATGGAATCATAGTGATTGTAATAGACTGACTGCCATCTAGAGTATGGAAGATCAGAAATTAAGATTATCAATTGATATACTAATATATTGTATGCAAAGATGAATATAAATCTGGTTCTCATAATGTAACTGCAGCTCATCTACTTTGCCTACTTTTGTTATCTCCAGGTAGTGGGCATGATGAGACTATGAAGTGGATGGCCTTAATAGACCTTTCCAAAGAGGAGTTTGCAACTATGCACTTACTTTGTCTAAAATAACTTGATGCTCTGTCTAGTGGTATTTCCAGATTTATGGTCCTGGAGGATTTCAACCTGCTTTCCTTGGGTCTAGGCTCAGAGGAAGCCTTCATGTTCATGGCCAGCATTGCAGCAGGCAGACCCATCCCACAATGGGGGTGGATTGTCACATATTATACATTACTTTTGTCTCACTGTGGTAGCAATATGGTCTGGGGTATATTACCATCTGTCATGAAAAGATTATTCCCTGTTGAATTTAGAATTTAGTGCAGCATGCCCTTGCCTCCAGGAGGCTTACCGTATTTGATTGATTCTCCCCAGGCACTTAATGGGCTCAGAGGGAACACAAGGTTTTCCCTGAAGTTCTGATGCACAGTTCATATGAGGCCTTGGTCATCATTTAGAACAAGGGGGCAAAAATGACTTTAGATTGAACTGCACCTATGTGGAACTAACCTCTGATGGACCCCTTACAAATGATGAAATGGCAAAAGAGATATCCAGAGCACCACTGGGGAAAGGTTAGAAGTAAATTTGACTTAATACAGGTAAGAGCATTCATTATGGCATCTCTTGTTGTGATATGATAGGGAAATACTTTTCTCCTTTTTTGTTGTTCTCCGAGCGTCAAACGGTGCCTACTTGGTCAGGAGGGACAGGAATACCTAAGGTTACTGAGAACTCTGTTTTGACAGTGGGCAACATTGCTTGGGTTTGTTCCAAGATGGATTCCAGTTGGACAAGTTCAATAGGTTGAGGCATGGCCTTGTGATATTATCTAGAACAGGGGTGTCAAATTCAATTTCATTGAGGGCCGCATCAGGGTTGTGTTTGACCTTGGGGGGCCGGAGTGGGCGTGGTCAGGGTGGGCATGGCCAGCTCAACGTCACTCGTGTTTGGGGCACCTATGGCGGCCCAAGCTCTCTGCCAGTGAAAACGGGCTCCCGAGCACCGTTTTCGGCTGCGACTACCTCCTACAACCCTCTGCCAGTAAAAACAGAACTCGGGAGTGCCGCATGTGGCTTTCATGAGCTGTTTTCTCTGGCAGAGGCACTGTGAACCGAACTTTTGCTGTTTCCACAGTTTCCCGTGGGCCAGATCTAAGCACCCCATGGGCCGGATCCGGCCACTGGGCCTTGAGTTTGACACCCTGATCTAGAAGGAGTTAATTCTGTTACTTCTGAGGAAATGGACTGGGTGGGAAAATCTCTGTGATGGTGAATGCTATCTTGAAAGATAGGATAATCTTGTCAATTTTGGAAGAGGAGTAGTCCATCCCATTCTCAAGAAACCATTTCTGGATCCCATAGATTTGGACTATTTCTGTCCAGTTTCTAAACCTCCTTTCTAAGCCTACCACTCAAAGGAACTTGGAGGAAATGGATCTTCTGGACTCCTTCCTGCCTAATTTCAAACTAGAATACTGGTTTGAGACATCTTTGATCACTGTTGCTTATATTGTATTGAGACAAGTTTGGTTGCACTTGGTGATGTGGCAGCTCAGAATGGGGGTAATGTATCCATCTTGGTCCCCCTTGACATCTTGGCAGCCTTTGATACCCATTGATCATGGAATCTTTCTGAACTAGCTTAGGGTGTTGGAGTTCTGTTGTGATTCTCCTTCTTCCTTTGGAGCAGGTTCCATTCAGTGTTAAAGGAAATGTGGTTTAGTCCCTGATCCCTGCTTTGCACGGGGGCCTCAAGAGCACCAAGGACCTCTCATTTCAACCCTGAGCTATTCAAATATTCTCTTCTGTTGGAACTTTTATGTGTCTTTTTGTAGATCCAAATGAAATATTCTTTGTTTAATTTATGCCATAGTTTCTTTTTTTTTTTGATGATCTTTTTTTTAATTTGTAATTTTATTAGAACACATATTGGATATTTACACAACATACAACATATAAATAACTTATCATATTTAAGCATTGTTCCATAGTGGTCTTCTAGTTATTCCTTTAATTCTTCTTCCCCTTTACCTTAATCTACTACTCCATCTTCTTCCCCTCCTTTTCCTTTTTTTTTTCCTTTTTCCCCCATAGAGAACTATACATTTTAGTTATCTCTTTACTATTATACATTTCTACCTTCATATTATACACATTTTTATTCCACTCCAGACATATAATACATCTCTATTTTGTACTTCTATTTTTCTCTCCTAGTAGTTATTGTTCTTTATTGTTAGTCTTAAACCAGTTATACCATTTATTCCATATTCTATAATATTCTGTCTCTTCTTTTTCCTTGATTTCTTTTGTTAATCTGTCCATCTCAGCGCATTCTAAAATCTTATCTATTAGTTCTTCCTCCGTTGTGGTCCTTTCCTGTTTCCAGTTTTTTGCATACGTTATTCGTACTGCTATTAAGATGTGTAGCATCAAATATTTTATTTGTTTGGAATATGGTTTTGTAAAAATTCCTAATAATGTTTCTGGCTTCTTTTCTATTTATTGTTCTGTTATTTGTTCTATCCATTTCTTAATATTTGACCAAATTTTTTTTTGCTGCCAGACATGTCCACGTTCCTTGAGATTTCTTACATTTCCAACAAATTGCACTGTTGTTCGGGTGTGTCTTTGCCAGTCTTGTCGGTGACAGATGCCATCTGTAAAACATCTTCAACTGATTTTCCTTGTATGCCGCTGATAGTATTAATTTTCAGAAGAAAAACTAATTAGTAAAATTTATAAATTTTTATTACTATATAAAATGGAGGAGGAAACAGTGAAGAATACAATGATCAAATGGGCGCAGAATTTTAATTATACAATAGATTTGGAGAAGTGGGAAACAATGTAACAAGTGAATGCAAAATTAATTTATGCCATAGTTTCATCTGTGCCCAATATAAATAGAGGGTGGGATGAAGATGATGATGATTCATATGGATTGTAGTGCTGATAAAAAATGTTATATAATTCTCTTGCACAAAAGTGACAGACCTGAACTGCATGAACTGGAATTCTGTATAGACTAACAAATTAGTGGATATTAGCATTGCTACATGAATTGGTTGCTTAATATTATTTTTATAAAAGGTATATATAAGATTACGTGAACAAGGAAAGAAAGCAGTCCTGGCAAGATTTTAGAATCAGCTTTGTTGCTAATTTAGATTTTGACTGGGTGTTTGTAGTAAGAAAATGCTAAGATTTGCCTGTGGTGCTTCAAACTTATTACAACTGTTGCTTCCTGAATCCAGTATTGCCACATTCCCCCTATGATATTTTATATAAATAATGAAAACCTTGTTCACAGAGCTACTGCAGATTTTGCCTCAAGTAACTCACCTAATCCTAAACTGCAGTTTCTTCCTTCTCCCAGTGGTATAATGCAGTGGTGAAATCCAAATTTTTTTACTACCGGTTCTGTGGGCGTGGCTTGATGGGTGTGGTTGGGTGGGCGTGGCTTATGGGCATGGCAGGGGAAGGATACTGCCAAATCTCCATTCCCACACTACTCCAGGGAAGGATACTGCACAATCCCATTTCCTCCCCACTCCTGGGGGAAGGATATTGCAAAATCTCCATTCCCACCCCACTCTGGGGCCAGCCAGAGATGGTATTTGCTGGTTCTCGAACTACTCAAAATTTCCGTTGCTGGTTCACCAGAACCTGCTGGATTTCACCCCTGGTATAATGTAACAAGAGCCCCATTTCCATTTTGGAGATTTCTCACAAGCTTCATTCTGTGCTTTAGGTTTTCTGTTTCTGGAAACTACCTGGTATTCTTCTTCAATGATTCTCTTCTCCCACTTTCTATACAACTTATTTTTTGTTCAGCATTTTAAACACCTCTGCATATGTCCACTTTGGGCTCTATGGATTTCTCCCATTTTGTCTTGCAAGGAATATGGTTGTATCTTCAGTATCTTGTTTCATGAAATTTTCCATCCTTCCTGGACCTTTTTCTTGTCAAGGATTTAAAGCAATTTTGACAATTTCAACATATTTCATGACAAATTGGAATCCTTTGGGAAAAAGTGAAAGGATATCAATATCTCTGAATATTGGTTTCTCTAGATTCCCAATTATGTTGGAAAATTGAAATTCTCCAGACATGTTCTACAATTTGAAAGTTTCACATATTGCTGTGTCTATGTTTATAACACATCTGTAATCTAAATATACTAAAAAACATCTTTTTTGTTTTTTATTTCTCATACAGTTAAAGTATGCACTGTATCATTTCAATCGGAAATTGTCCTTGGAGCCCAAGGTATCTGTCAATTGTAGAATAGTAGTTGTTGGATCATCAAATGTAGGAATCTCCTTCCTGGAGACACTGATTTTTTGGTAAGTTTTTAGATTTAATTTCACACTGAACAATTTTTCACTATATTTGTTTATTCAATTATTGCATTTATGTCTCATCTTTTTAATGAAAGCTCGGTGTTATATACTTGTAAGTCTCACCTTGTTTTGTCTCTAAAATAATAACCCTTGAGTTAGATTAGGCTTTGAATAAATGAGTTGTCCAAAGTCACCCAGGGAGTTTTCATAGTTAAAGATAGAGTCAAACTGTATGTCATCATTTCATGTCTGGCACCTTAGCTATTACAATGTACCTAACCTGTCTATACTGCTGTGATCTAAAGTCTTTGTGCTTGTTAATGTACACATGGTACTGCTTCCTTCCACTCAGTGTTAAAGACAATCAAGTTGACTTTCATTTGTGTATGGCATAAATTATAGCTTGTAGTGTGATTATCACTAGCATTCACAGTGCTGATGATGTAGTTCCAAAAGGAAGATCTCTTTAGAACGAAACCATTAGAGCAGACATGGACAGCATCAATCTCTAGTTTTAGGTTTAGCCAGGATGGCCAATGTTTTAAGACGTAGTGGGAATTACAAACTAATATTTGGAGGTCCAGACTTTTTGTTGTTATTGTTAGTTGCCATCAAGTTGATATTGACTTATAGAAACCTTGTAGATAGTTGTTCTGGGTTGTATTTGCTTTTCAGTCAAGTGGCTAATCCCTGCTAGAGTTGAGTCTATGGCTGTAGTTATTGCATTGATCAATTACAATGCTAATCTTTTTTTTTACAATTTCCTTCAATCTTGCCAAATATGGTATCTTTATCTACTATTCTTTCTCTTTGCATGTCCATAATATTAAACTGTTAGCCTTGTCAATTGAGTTGATAAGGAAAGCTTCATCCAGCAGTTCATAATACTCAGGACCATTTGCCAGTATTTATTTGTTTGTTTGTTCATTTGTTTATTTATTTATTTTCTATAGCCACCCATCTCAACCAAGTGACTCTGAGTAGTTATAGTTCTAAAACAATAAAACATTTAAAAACAATAAAAATAATACAAAGCTAAATATATAGTGACCAAAACAATTAACTAATTAACAGTGTACCCAAGACACAAGGCCTTTAATACTATTTGGAGCCCCAGATCCAGTACACACTCAGGTTTTTTAAGCCTTATGAAAGCCAACAGTTTGGGGCTATTCTAATCTCTGAAAAGAAAATACAGTATTCCACATTATAACATTTTTTTTCTAGAATGTTTTACTCTGCAGGTCCAAACTAGATTTGGTTCCCATTTTACTTTGATGTTTCTTCTAGCAGCTTCTCTTACCTTACCAAATTTGGTCCCATTACATTCAGTTTTCAGACATATAAACAGAGTTCTCATCTCTTTTACGTAGTGTTTTCCATTAAGATGGCAAGAAAAAAGCGGAAAGATTTAGAACTAGTTAGTAAGAATCCACTTCCAGAGAGGGGGTGGAGCTTCGCAGTATTACCAGTCACAGAAAACAGAGCTCTCCATTCCTGTGCTGGCTTCTCCCTGTTTGTGGGCTCCGAAAGGAGCCAAAGCAACCTTGTAGGGGCAGTGAAGCTAAGGAGGGGTGCTCTGAGAGGTTGCAGGAGAGATTACAACTCTCCTGCTGAACCCCGGGGCTTCTTTCTCTCTCTGCCACGGTGAGGAGAAGAGGCAGTCTAAGATGGCTGCCAAGAAGCTGGGGAAGCAGATGACCATCTAAGCACAGTGCAGGTGCGGACTTTGGTAAACAGTGTGTGAACTGGGTGAGAAAAATTCTTTTTATTCAAATTTTAACCCTAAAAGAATATCCAGTAAAAAAGAGGTTCACAACTAGTCTTAAAGTAGCAGCGACCTAGCACTCTGAAAAAACTTTAAAATTGAAAGAAAGAATTAAAGGGAAAAAGGCAGAAAAATCACTAAAATACAGAAAATTGGACTTTCAAACTGGATGGGCACTTTGAAATGCTGAAATTATCAACTTAAAAATCAACTTTATTTTTACATGGTGGGAAAATGAAAAACTGGTTAATACTGAAATCCAATCTAAGAGTGCCATCTGCTGGCAAAAGGAAGAACAACATACTTCCAAAATCTTGGAATTATTTGATTTTTTGGGATTTAAATGTGATAATACAAAAAACATTATCATTAAAATGACCCCTGAGGATTACAATACAAGACTGAATTTATAGAGGGACCTGAGTGGGTTCTGGAAAACGTATGGGACTATCCATAATAACCAAAAGTCATCATGGGTTGTCAAAAACAGATCATGCCAGACTAATCTTATTGCATTCTGTGACAAAATTAGTGGACCAGAGGAATACTGTTGATATAATTTACTTGGACTTCAGTAAGGCATTTGATAAAGTAGGCCATAACCTACTACTTGATAAAATAGAAAAATGTGAATTAGACAGGATCACCACCAGATGGATTCGTGATTGGCTGACCAACCGCACTCAATATGTAGTCCTCAATGGAACTGCATCTACATGGAGGGAAGTATGCAGTGGAGTGTCCCAAGGCTCTGTTTTAGGCCCAGTACTCTTCAACATGTTCATCAATGACTTGGATGAGGGGATAGATGGGGAACTCATCAAATTTGCAGATAACACCAAGCTGGCAGGAATAGCCAATGCTCCAAAAGATAGGCTCAAGATACAGAAGGATCTTGACAGACTTGAACATTGGACGCTATCTAACAAAATGAAATTCAATGGTGAAAAAAGGTTCTGCATTTAGGCAAGAAAAACAAAATGCACAGGTACAGTATATGTGGTACCTTGCTCAATAGTAGTAACTGTGAGAGAGATCTTGTAGTCCTAGTGGACAACCATTTAGATATGAGCCAGCAATGTGCAGCAGCTGCCAAAAAAGCCAACACAGTTCTGGGCTGCATAAACAGAGGGATAGAATCAAGATCACGTGAAATGTTAATACTACTTTATAATGCCTTGGTAAGGCCAAACTTGAAATATTGCATTCAATTTTGGTTGCCATGATGTAAAAAAGATGTTGAGACTCTAGAAAGAGTGCAGAGAAGAGCAACAAAGATGATTAGGGGACTGAAGGCTAAAATATATGAAGAACGGTCGCAGGAACTGGGTATGTCTAGTTTAATGAAAAGAAGGACTAGGGGTCACATGATAGCAGTGTTCCAATATCTCAGGGGTTGCCACAAAGAAGAGGGAGTCAAACTATTTTCCAAAGCACCTGAGGGTAGAACAAGAAGCAATGGGTGGAAACTAATCAAGGAGAGAAGCAACTTAGAACTAAGGAGAAATTTCCTGACAGTTAGAACAATTAATCACTGGAACAACTTGCCTGCAGAAGTTGTGAATGCTCCAACATTGGAAATTTTTAAGAAGATGTTGGATAACCATTTGTTTGAAGTGGTGTAGGGTTTCCCTACAAAGCAGGGGGTTGGACTAGAGGACCTCCAAGGTTCCTTCCAACTCTGTTATTCTATTCTATTCTATTCTATTCTATTCTATTCTATTCTATTCTATTCTATCCAGAGGAACAGGTTGATTAATTTTGGGATACAAGAACTAAGAATATTAGATTCTTTTGAGAAGTGACTATAGGTTCAAATATATGGTTTTTGGATTATTGGACAAAACAGGGGTACAATAAAATCTAACGAGATGCTTCATCAAGAGAAGAGATGAGAAGAGATGGTGTCGGTAATCCAAAGTACAAGGGAGACACTGATATGGCATTTTAAGGAAATAATGAATCGAATAGAGAGCATGGATGGAATTCTGAGAAATATAACACAAAGGACAATGAGTGATCAAGATGCCCAGAAAGAGGAGGAACTTTAGTTCCTAACTGAAAGAATAAACGAAAAAATGGAACAGACAAAACAAATGAAATGAGATGATAAGGAGGAGATAATAACAAAAATAATAAGGATTGATGACACAAGCCAAGGGGAGAGTGTTCTAAGGGAATTAAAAAAGGAACCGGAGAACCAGGAGGATTCTTATGGGAGAGAGATAGGGGCACGATTAGATATTTTCAAAACTAGATAATGGAGAAGGGCAGAGAAGGGAGAAATGTTTAACATGAATAGCCAAGATGTGGAAGCAGACAGAAATAAAGATCCAAGAGAGGAATATGGGAGGCAAGCTAAGAAATGAACAATTAAAGCTTTAAAGTGGGTAAAAGGTTAAAAAGGGAATATATTTAAATACAGTAGTGGCATAATCAAAGAATAGGGATGGAGATTAGAGAGAAGGGGATTAATAAAATACACATTTTTATATAATAAGGAGAAGTAATAGAGGGGAAATTAGAATTTGAATGATGGTATTATTAAGTATACTTAAATAATATGGTGACTGGCATAAGAATAATATATTAACTATTAATTAAATAAATAATGAAAGATTGTAATTCAATATGAATAGGTGTATGTTTACTAAATGTAACATATGATCAAGAATACTTTATTTGTATTAAAATGTATGAAATGCAGAATATGGTTATTGACATAAAATTAACATTGAAATATTGAATAAGTAAATAATGAAGGATTATCAATTGAACAAGCAAATAATAACAAGATTTCAATTTAGCATAAATGTTTGTACTATTATTAGAATTATATAAGCTTGTTAAAAGTAATAAATATGAATATAATATAAATATTCTATTTGTATTAAAAGGTATGACACTTAGAATAGAGTGATTGGCATAGAAATGACGTATTGAAATATTGAATGATTAAATAATGAAAGATTATAATTTAATAAAAATATGTGTATTATTACAAGGATTATATAAGCTTGTTAAATTAAACAAATATGATTAATACTATTTTATTTGTATTAAAATGTATGACATTCAGGTGCCACACTGTTCACACATTGATTTGTTTGTAAAAAATAAAAAATATATTTTTTAAAAAATCCACTTCTGCAGATTACAGTGAAGCTTGTGGATTGCAAATGGCAGATGCAATTCTATTCTGACTTTCTGACAACAACCTTGTTAAAGAAATACA